AAAGAGCTGGGCAGGGCAGGCTGGCACGGCTCCTGCTGTGGGCACATCCTCCTCATCCCACTGCCAGAGGCTCAGGGGGAGCAGCAGGAGGATGCGAAAAAGCAGGCAGGGAGCTCAGGGTGAGGTGCAGGGCTATTGGAAAGCTGAGCGTCTGGGAGAGAGATAATGCGAACTGTTTCCTCCGTGGCCTGTGCCTACCTCCGGCTGTAAATCACAAGTCAGCGCCATTCAGAAGGCCCTAGCACCTCGGCTGCGTGCTCCTGTGCAGCAAAAGCTCATGTTTGGAGAGCTTGCTGAAAAAGGGGGTGGAGGAGCGAGCACCAATTCCACTGGGAAAACTTCTTGTTTTCTCTGGCTAACGCATCCCCTTGCTAGCCCACCCCAGTGTCCCATCCCCGGTGTGTGGCAGCCAGCTGCCATGCTGTGCTCGGGATCGCAGATCTGCAAGCTCAGAGCATGCCAGCTGCGAACGCCTGGCCCGAGCACATGCACCGGCACCTCCCCATCAGCTCCCCGCAAATGGCAGAACTTCACCCCCCCGACACTCCAGAGCAGCGACTAGCCAGAACCGTCCCTCTTAAATCTTAAATACAGTGGAAAAACTACCACAGCAGAATACAAACTGAACTGGGTAAAGTAAGATTTACAGGGCAAATGTTGCTAAACTGAGCTGATAAGGAAAGATTGACTCAGGAGCACAAAAGAGACAAAGGCAGCAAGAGCAGTCTGCCCAATCAAACAGACTTGCCACTACGCAAAAATACCTCTATCTAATCTGCTTTAGAGCTGCATACAGCTGGAGCAGTCTAGCAGAAGAGGAGTCTGACTCCCAAATCCTACTGCCTTCATCTACCATTCTCTGAGCCTTTGGGAGTCATCCCCTTATCTCAGGTGTCTATAGGGGATCCCTCCTCGCCAGCGTGTTTCATCCACCACAAGAGCACTGACAACTGTGAAAATACATCACTGAAAGGACAAATGCTAGGAGAGCTCCTAGGAAGAGCAGTAGGAGACAGAGGATTGTGCTTTGACTCCTTCTTCCTAATTTTGGGTGTGAGAGATGCCCGGACATCAGGAAGGCACATCTGTATTTCTCAGAGCTGAGCAACAGCAAACAAAGGTGTAAAGTAACTGTCCAAGCCGGACTGCAGTCCTGTCATGCAACCGGACATAAGCCTCCTCCTCGTTCCCACTGCAGCCCTCCAAACACCCATAAATATGCCACACAGCAGAGCCAGATGATGTGCAGCCCGCTCCAGGCCTCTGCCCTCCTGGCTGCTTTCCTGCCTTTGTGCTCCACTTCCTGAGCAGCCCCAGCCTGCCCGGCTTGCACCGCTCCAGGGCCAGCCCAGCCTGGAGCACAGCCCTGCAGGACAAGGCCACATTCATGCAAAACTCCTGCTGGCCTCGGTCAGCAGACTGCATTCACGTAAAGAGCAGGTCTGCTGTCGCAAACAAAGCCCCTGGAAACACTGGAGTTTGCTAATTCATGGGCCGGCCAGAGCCTTACATCAAATGCTGTCAGCAGTGCTGGGAGTGCCCTGCCCAAAGCAGGCATTGTGCCGGGTTTTGCTTGGCTTGGGAATTCTGGAGCACTGGAGTGACACAGAAACTTCCCCAGTACATGTTTTGATTATCCTTCAGGTGGTCTTTGCTTTCTTTTTGGGGGTGGATGTTTTTCTTTTCAGGGCTCGCTCTTTGACTTGTATGCTTGAGCAGTCACCCTGCAATGGCTGTGGGTTATTAGGGATAAGGATGTGTTCCCCAGACAGCGGACAAGCGAGGCATGGATCCGACTGCGCTCTTCACACACAAAACTGCACTGAATCAGCACTCTTGATAGCAAGTGCGATACATGGGAGATCTGACACAGATCCGAGTAGTGAATTCATGGAGAGGGCTGCTGTCTGCTGGCAGATGCTTCACAAGCAGGAAGAGAGGCTGGATCCATCGATCTGTCTGCACACCCTGCCTTATTTATTTGTCTTTAGTTACAGGACTAGAGCTGTACTCCTCCCTCTTGTCTGTGAGCCAGTCCGTGCCTCACCTCTGCTACATGCAGCCATTTCAGGGCTAAGAGCAGAGAGATGTTTATTAAACCTCCCTGCAAGTGACATCAGTTACTCACAATAAATTGTAGTAACTCAGTGAGATGACACTCCAGCAAAACAGCCATTTCAAACGTGTCTCCAGAAAAGATGCAAGCAGTTTGTTTGCTTGAAAGG